TTCATCAGTCCATTCGCCCGAGGTCGGATCCGAATTCGGACCCGACTAGGATAGGTATATATTGAGACACTCCCTGTAGCTAGCTCTGTAGACTTTTGATATCCTTTCGTACAAGGCCTATAGGTGGCTTGTTGAATCTAGGCTCTTTGTGATCCCACGCACTCCCATATGCCTCTGAGTGATCCTACGACCGAAACAGATCCGACCTGCCTTACCTGCGCCGTTACAAGAGCTTCGCAGGAAGTTCAGCCGTGAGAGATAGTAGGCAATTTAGTCGTCTAGGACCTGTCTAGGAAGTCCTACTATGTTTTAGAAAGCTAAGCTATAGGCGCAACGTTGCGTAATAAACTACCTAAAGGCCACTTAGGCCTAGCGTATAGTTAGCTAGAAGCGGACGTTATAGTAAGAAGTCCTATTAATCCTCTATTAGACAGAGTGCAGGCTGTGCGATTACTCTTAATTAGAGACGAGATCCCACGAGCGAGACGGCAAGACGCAAGTCTTCCTAGAGATGCGACACAACAGCAGCTAAACGCTATTTAGAACCAGCTAGAAGAGAAGTACAGCTAAAGGTAAGCCCTACTAGTCCTCACTAGCGAGGAGTAGGCTGCAGTTAAGGACTGCGCAAGTAGATTAAAGAACAATTAAAAGCTTTGCACATTAGCAGGCAAAGATAAAAGACGTCTAAAGATGAATTAGACAATAGAGGCTAACGCTCCTAACTTAAACGTAGAAGAGCTAGCGGCGTACGCTACCGCCAAGAGCTAAGCAGGAGTATTAGACAAAGAAATCCTGCGCGAAATCACACAAATGCTTAGAGAGGATAGATAGAATGAGGCAGCAATTAGACTAACAATTAAAGCGGTTGTTAAACGATTAGCCGTTGTAGGAGGAAAGGGCTCACTAAGGCAAGGAGGTTTACTAAAGGCTAATTAGAACGCTATAGCCTAAATAATAGAATAGATAATGTAGCTACTTAGCCTAATAGCTAGTCGTCTAGAAGCACTCGAGAAGAACTAAGCCAAAGGACGTTTAGAGCCGTCCTTAGGAGCTAATACCCCCCTACTACCACTAATAACAGCCACCAAACTAGCAGCTCGCAAGCACAAGTTTCCTTACCTAGAACTATTTAACAGAGATAGAACAAAGTACGTAGCCTTCTAATACAAGACTTAGGCGAAACTCTAGCACAAGTACAAAGGCGCTCTAAGTATCGCTTAGATCAAGTATGTGGTTAGCAGATGTATAGGCAAGGCAGCAAATGTACTCTTACCCTAGGCAATATAGAACTAGAACAAACGCCGCATTAAGGACCTCTAGAGCTTTATAAACTATACTAGGTGGGCCTCGTTAAACTACGCGCAATAAGCTCCTAAGTAGTAGAGCGCCCTACTACTATAACCACTTAACACGAAGCTAGTCCAGACGTTATAAACTAGGAGCCTTTAAAGGTTAATTAGGCGCAAGAGGCTAGAGGCAAGCTACAACAACCCCCGCTAGACTGTTATAGCTATAGAGAACTAGGTTATCTAGCTAAGAACTGTCTAAACAACGTTTAGGTCAAGAGAGCGAGAGCCCTTCCTAAGAGTAAGGAACAAAAGCAGCTAGAAGAGGCTAAGGACCTAGCTAATAGCGACTTAGGAAAAGGAGAGCTCTAAGCTAGAGTCTTGGCTTAGAGCCTCTAAAGATGGATCAGCAGACACGCAGCGAATAGAATTAGTTTTAGTAGAAGCATATGCGTCCCCTACTAATTACTATAGATCTTATTATAAATAATGTAGCAAACGCTGTCGCGCTTATAGACTATAGATACCTATGCAACCACCAACTTCGAGTTTTCTAGAAACCGCTAGGAAAGCACGCTATCTAGGAGAACCGACCACGAGGAATCGACTAACAGCACTTTCAACACCTGCAGCTAAGGCGCTAGCGCGCAGTAGGGAGAAGAAGGAGGCCTTCCTTCGTTATCTCACGCCTGTGAGAATTTTCTTATAGAGCTTGGACTCTAATGCCAAGACTAGAGGGGCCAATAGGAACGCAGGAGCTTATTAAAGCTTAAATTTAGCAAGAAACACAGACATATCAAAACAATAAAAATAACAAAAAAAGACTAGCCTTAAAGGACCTTAGAGGCACAAGCAAACGACTAATAGATAATAATCCAGAAATTGAGATGGCTGAGGAGGCCTCTACGCCTTGCCCTAACAGGCAACTAGAAGAACCGCCTAGGCCTACCCATACTAGGACAAGGAGTAATTTTTCTCCATTTATTGGAGCAGTGCCAAGATACCCTACAGTAGGGAAAACACCAAAGGCAACCTCTATTAAGGAGGCCTTAGAGATTGCTAGAAACCTAGTAATCTAAGCAGCTAACCTAGCTAAAAACAACCCTACTAGGCAAACTAGTTTACTAGACCTTGTAGAAGTCTTTAGAGACTTTACAGAGAATGGCAGAGTAAACAAGAAAAACTCTATAATTCTAGGAGACTAAATCTCCTCTCTATCTAACGTCTCTAAAGAACTAAGAGAGAAAGTTAGACGCCTTAAAAAACCAAATACCCCGCCCACCTGTAACGGGCTGAACGCCCTTTGGATAGCTCCTCGATGGAATCTCGGTCAAGCAGCAGACGCCAGGTCTTACTCTGCAACCCGGCATCTGTGCGAGGCCTGAGCGGCGCCCAGACGACGCGCTCAGACACTCGGTGCAACCTTTCTCCGACAAGTAAATAAACACCACGCAAGTAGACTCTATAGCTCTCTATCGAATACAACCTCTTGTATACCTCGCGATTGCTCCCCGGAGCGCAGCCCCCTTACAGTAGCTAAGGCCTACTTAATTAGCTACTTTAAAAGTGTGTTTATTTATTACTAATGTTCATTAAAGCTACTAACGTTATAAACTACTTACTTAACACTATATAAATAAAGAGAGTTATAATTATATAAAAAGACTTTTAGCTACTTAAGCACTATAGTAAGAAGTATTTTATAGGGGGCTAGTAGTAGTGATAAAGAAGTAGAGTTCCAGTAAAGTATACTTATATAATAGTAAATAAAACTTGATTCT